GCCCCCTCAGGCGGAGCCGGGGGACAGGAGGGCACCGCGCTTCAGGCAGCGCCAAACGACCCCGTCCCGGGCCGATCTTCTCCTCTTCAGAGCTGAGGGTGCCAAGTATTTCACACTAAGGGCAGTTTGTGCTCTCTGGTCCACCGAAAATCTAGAAAACGGTGTATCGGTCTCCTCGAGCTAGGGGAAAAATAAAAAGTAAATTAACCGAGTTCGTTTTGTGCTCAACGCAGGACCTTCTTCTGAAACAGGAACTGAAATTTGGCCAGTCAGCATCGAGTTGCTGGTGAAAATCTCGGTCACATCAGCATTTGCCGCCTTTTCGTCTCCTTAAGAAAAAAAGTTATGAGAAGTATTTTTTACGTATGATGAACATACATGAAAGTGACCGCTAAATTATCCAGAAATCCTATCCTTAAGGCTAAAATCCTGTAAGGAAAGAGATAAACGTAATCATATAATTGCATAATTAAAGCCTTTACCATAATACCTATTCTGGTCTAAAGGTTGTGCATTATGTGCAATACTTAAGTACTGTGAGAAGACTAGAATAATTTTAGTTGTTGACATTGCGTTGCGAAATGTACAAAAGGAAACATTAATATTTTCTTTTTTAAAAAAACTTGATTTGTTAGAGCTTTATGAACAGGATGACTACAGGCATGTTAGGAACTGAGACTGCCTGTGTATGGACAGGAGGAGAACTTGGGCTGTAGTTGGGAATATTCTAGTTTCCTGAGCTGCTAGTAAAGAAAGGAAAGACTTGAACTTGGGCAGTTTATTTTTGTCTGTTTATTTTCCATTAATAATATTTGAATCCCTTATCTAGAATCAGCCACAATGAACAAAAAGTTTCAAAAAATAATCTGGAAAGGAGCATATCACCCCTCAAAAAACCAGCAGCATAAATAGCAATACCTATTATATCAAAGAATCCATCCACAGAGAACTGCTGTCTGAAGCATGAATTAATAGAAATCAGCTTTCTTTGTCTTATTTTCTTATGAATTGATTTGCTTTTATGTGAAAAGTGGAACTTTCCTATGTTTTGAACCATAGCCATTGAATCAGAAGACACAGACCTGGAAATACCAGTAAAGTAACATTTTAACATTCATTTGTTCTTTAGGATGTTATTATTATTTTTGTATCTTCCATTTCCAGGGCAAGTCTTCCAGATTCAGGAGGGAATATTTTGTCACATGTTTGTAAAGCAGCCAGGTCCACACAGTCTCTGGGCAGATTCTGGCACTGTACTCGTAAGGAGCAGTAAGTAGTTCACTGGTGAAGACAGCGAATACTATTCTTCCTGAAACAAACTGAGCAGCACAGAGTCATTTTTGTCACATTGCATAAACTATGTGGCACTTGAGTTACACATCTGGCTCTAGGGGCATTTTTAGGAGCAAACATGGTGACTGCCAGGGCAGCTAGTGGAAGTCACAGTTGCATTAATTTAGGTAGAAATATCAGTCATCTCTTGTGCAATTATGTCAAAGGAGCTTGTGCCCTGCACCCTCACAGTCACAGTGTCTGTCCTGGCAGCAGGTTGCAGTACAACTTTGGGAAGGCCAAAGTGGCTTAGTGGACCCAGGAGGGGCCCACTAAGCCTCTTGGAGCAGAGAACAGATACAAAGCCATGACTCTTGGGCATGCAAGAAAAGAAAGCTTGGATACTGATGCCCATGGTCAAACTCTTCGAAGCAGGCCCACAATTGCAGGGTTAAAAATGTTGAAATTAAGATGAAATTTGATTTAAAATATTTTGTAACAAAAGCTTCCAGTGCTGAAATCAAAGTTGTATACTTGGAATTACAGCAATCTAAAGCTTCCATATTCAAACACTTTTTATGCCCTGAAGAAAATTGTAGGCCGTATAGGACCTCAGACAGTTCTTGTAAAACGTGCAAAGCATGTCTACATTGCCCTTCATGGTGAAATCATAAAGTTTACATGCTGTTTTATATAAATTTAGGAAAGTAATTTTCAAATAGAGCTGAAACATGAAGATAGAAATGATACCTGGTTTTCATTGCATAGTTCTATTTCCTTCACTGACATGCTCTAATTAAATAAATACATATTTATATAGATATAAATATATACTTTTAATTTATAAATGTATACTATATAATATACACAATAAATTATACACAGTGTAGAATTTATAATTTTACACTTATATGTGGTAAGGTATATCATACACAGTATTTGCTGCACTACACAGCTCATGCTGCATACTGTATGCAACAGTGCTACATACAGTACAATTTGATGTATTCTGTGCTAGTAAATAAGTTTGTATTTATATTATACTTCATATATTAACATCTATATAGAAATAGCAGATTATATTATCATATGTTAACCATTACAGTCATATACATCATCTGTACACACCTATGTCCCTCATGCAGCTTCTTTCAATACCTCTTTTCAGAAACCCGCTGTAGGAAAGGTGATCTTAATTGACTGACTGTTGCTATGTGCTTCATTGCATTTGGTGTTTCCTAGTCTGAGGCAGAGTCAGAACATAAACTAGCTGCAGGTATAACAGTGTGGGATTCTGGTTTACAGTTGGCACAAGTTTAGATACAGGGTGTTAAGTACCTGAAATCTGCTTAAAGCCACAAAAATTACCATGAACCCTCAGACCAGAAAATGATGTATGAATTAGTTTTTTATTTACACTTTGATTGCAGTGATATCATGTTTTAAGTGCATACACTCCTCTGTTAGTTTCTGTAGAGTGGATGGGCTGAAGTAATTTGGTTCTCATTTGCAGATTGAAAAAACCCTTTTGTCATTCTACATCTTTGCAGTCTTAGTGCACCTTTGTGGTAGGAAGCCCATTATTCAAATTAAAAATGTTTGAGTGATAGCAATTAATAATTTCTGAGTGAAATTTTAGAAACTACAAAAGGTTTCAGAGCTCTGTGTGCTTGTGTGTGGGTCTGTGTGTGGGAGTGTGGGCATTTTGTATTTTTCAGTGAACTAATTGTTAGAAGAAATTAAATCAACTTATCTATCATATGTGTATGAGAAGAGCCACCTCTCTGGTTGCTAATTTTGTGTCCAATTGATAGATAGTTTGTGAGGCTGCACGTTAAACACTATCCTGTTTCGGTTGTAACAGCTTGAGGTTTTTATGTGATATTAACATAAAAGGTCTCTAATTTTTCACTAGAGAAAAAGAAAATGCTACAAATGTTGAATACCTGATGGTACTTTCTGTAAGTCTCGCCACTGTTTGGGTAAGTCCCCTACTAAAATATTCCCTTTTTCCCACGTACCACTTGTCCCACAGTTTTAGCTGAATCCAGAATTTTACAGGTCCTCTCCTAAGCTTAGAAATTCTCTGCTACATTGCAGGTTGTGTTCTTTTGTCACAGAGTCTGAATCTAAACAGTGAATGTTTCTGATCATGTGTCGTTCTGGCCTACATTCTGATTATGTTCTATTTTTTCTGCACTGATTTTGGTTCCATAAATACACAACTCAAACTGCTCTCATGTCCATAAGCAGGCTGGTATGGCTTGTATTCTTCTCGTCTCGAAGTGGTACACAGGATAATATCATAAATATTATATTGGCAAATCATCTAGACCACCTTCTGTAAGCTTTATATAACAGCTAACAATTGGTCACAGGATAAAATTTAATTCTAGTCCTGTTAGTGAAAGAGGTACATGTGCTTCAAGTTTTGTGATAAAATTCATACAAATATAATTAGAATGTAGAATTCTGTGATAATATATAGCCAAAGCATGTCTTTCCATTGAAGTGGGCTTTCTTTGTAACCATCAACCATGTCTATTCTAGGCCAAATAAAATTGTTTTCTTTTGCAGCTCATGGTGACACAAAACACAGCACATTGTAACTACAAGAACAGACTCGACTGTGAAAGATCTCTATCAGGCATCACAGAGAATTTGAGGCAGCTGGCAGTTATCAGCTGAAGCAGTTAGTAAGTAGAACTGTACAAGATAAATAGATAATTGAAAAGCAATCTGGAAACCTGGAAGAGATAAGCCTCTTTTTTAGAAAGAAGGTAACAACTCAGGTAGGTCACTGAGGAACTCATCTCCCAGATCAGCTCTTTGTCTAATAACACTGAAAATACGGTGGCAGTTCATGCCCATCAGCTCTGAAGTAAAATTCAAATTGTCATTGGAAAGACAGTTTGGCATATTCAGTTATTCAAATCATAATTGCAATAGAGGGAGGAGGATTGTATTGCTGAAAGACAGGTGATCAAAGTCCCAGGAACAACATAGCCCTTTGTTAAAATACAGTTGCCAAAATAGAAAACTACTAACTACTAACTGTTGTTACACAACATTTTTACCCTCCATGCTACTTTGTTTATACTGCCATGCAACAAGTAGTATTCCTGCCAGGCTGACTACAGTTGTCTGTGGGATAAGTGATTTCTTCTTTTGTGCAATTTATATTTCTATTAAAATAATGTAACTGTCTTTATTTACCATGAGTGCAGAGAAGTGAAGGAAAAAGCCAATGCCTATGAGTAAAAGAATGTGTTGATCTTAGTATCTGCAGTTTAAAAGAGTCCTAATATTGGTTGTATATCAATATGAGAGTGCATGAGATATTTTTGTGAGAGTGGGCACAGAAAATAAGCTTTTGGCCTTTTTCAAAAAAGAAACTGGCATCTTTCCACCAGAGAAGTGCTTGAATTGATCCACTGATATCTGTCTATTTTGTTAAACCACTCAGGTGGATCACAGGAAATAACTGATGCCAGTGTAATATTAATTCCTGTGGAGCTGATCAAAACAAACAAACAAAAACCAAACCCAAACAACAAAACAAAACAAAAAAAGGGAAGACTTTTTCTGTTCAATTTACTTTGAAAGACACTTTTAAAAATCTGTCTCCAAAAATTCTGTCTAAAAAGTTCTGTACATTTATGCTGAAAGTACATAGAGCAAAACACATGCATCAATTTTTTTTTTTGCTGTATTAGTTGCTACAATTACAGTGGCAGCTAAAGTATTAGTTTCTACAGTACAGTAACTAGGAGAGAAACATATTAATTTCACAAAATCCATTAACAAAAATTTGCATGTGTCCATGTTGCTGGTTGCAGAAATAATATGATTCATTTGAACAGTCTCCGTAAATCTTAAAAAGTAATTGCCATTTTTATTTTTTAGGTATTGTTCTAATATCTGCTTTACTGTGGTACTGGACATGAAATAGTTGTAAATTCTGCTTCTGTGTATTGACTCTTGAGGATGTTTTCCCTCCATATCTCATTCTGTGATTGCTTAAACAAAAAATGACAAAGTTTTAAAGTTTACAAAAGCATGGGAAGTTTTAAATTACCATTTGCTGTTTTGAGGCCTGATTCATCTTTCCTAGATTATAATCCTAGTTGTAGACTTTGGTCAGTCTAGAGACATTTTTCATATCAGTTTCTCAGCATAGATGCAACTGTACAATTGTAAATTACCATTGTGTTGTAAGATATGCCTAACTTCATTAGATTACAAAACTTCTTAGGTAGCAGGAGAATTTTCTGACTTATGTATTTTATTTTCTTTTAAAAGAAGATGAAATGAAATAGCAAAAAAAAAATTGCTTTTTAGATAAAATTCCAGAATCTGCCTAAATATTTACTGTATAAGAATCAAATATATCAATAATTATAATATAAAAAGATGCTGACAACATGCTGTTGTAAACAGAGCAAATAGAACACATCAGGTGACTATATAGAACAGAAACCTTCATCCCCTGAGACTGAGAGCACTCACTTAATATTTGAGCACAGCCAGATAATGAAGGATATCTCCCTTCACGCACAATTAGTGAACTTGACCACAGAGTTTCCCAAACCTTCCTCTGGTCAGACCTCCTACAGTAGTACCTAAATCTCAGAGAGTTATACAGCATGAGCCTGAGCCTGAGCTGAACTATTTATTCTTCACTTTTCTTGCTGAATCTGGATCACAGCACAGAAAAACACTGAAATACTCAAAGGATTCATAAGAGAGAGAAAAAAGTAAAATAGATAGAGCAAATAGAATAATATGCAGAGCCAGAAGTAGGAAAGTATCACTCAGAGGGAAACATAATCCATCTATATGGAAGGGCTCAGGTGTTAACTATATATGTAAACTCTTGTTCTAGACAACAGAGTAAATGCAGTCTGTGGACCCTTCTCAGTGCCTTGTCTGCTGATGAAATGCTTTGCATATGTTTCAGAGGGAACCAAGTTGCTCTCCAAGCTCCATCTGAACACAGACGAAAATTATGGCATCATGTGAAATGATGTCATATCAGTTTCTGTCTTGCAGTTCTCTACAGGATGAAATTCCCAGAAACTGGAAAAATGCATTTACATATATATTTTAATATGTGAGTTCCTGACAAAAATAGTGGAAAGAACTTTCTTGAGTTTCTCCCAAAGACGAATCAAGGTTCTGTAAAATTGCTGGATCTTTGCTTGTCATTTGCCGTGACTTGTGCACATCATACAAAAAATAGCAACCAAAGCTCTTGGCCAGGTAAAGTAATCTTGGATATCTTCATGTGCCTTTGTTCTGAAAATGTGTACCAATGCATATCCTGGATCTCAGGCTTATTAATGCATTTAAGGATTATTTGAGTTGGTAACCTGAAATAATCTGACACTGCGTTTATTGATGCAGAAGGTTATTCTGAATTTTTTGTCCAAATGTCTTACTTTACAGTCCCATGTGAATAAAATACTTGGCTTTAAACATAGTTTTTCGTTTCCTTTGTAGTGATTCTGTCTATTGTGGAAAGTAATTCATCCCTTATCCCAGACTTTTTTGGTTCTCATAGAACCAACACCACAGGGTTTTTTTAGAGCATTGGGTTAATCTGAAGACCTCCCACTAATGTACTACCCAGCAGGTTGAAATCCAACCTAAAATAAAGATCATAAAGCAATAGCAAAGGATGCAGTCCAAGTTATGGTCAAACTAAAGTTACACAGTGTGGCTACTGCCCCAGCTACAGAGACAGAAGCTAGACAGCTGCAGAGCAGTGGCAGCCAGCCAGCATGCCTGAATAGAAGAAGATGAGGCCAAAAGGAGGAGGAGGACTTAAATCTCAGATATTAGCTTCTCTAATATGGAATGAACAAGCTATATAAGAACCTTACATACCCAGAAAAGAAATAGGACAAAGTCCTTGAAGTTTCCTGTGCAACTTTTCAAATAGAAATTATCATAGCCAAAGTATTTAAAAATATTAGCTTTTAAGGTATATTTAGTTATAAAAATTTGTTTATACTAGGTATATCATATACAATCTTTGCCCTCAAATACATCATATGCCCAGTAATTTTTATTTATTTTTTTAAAAATGTGAGGCCATTAAATTGAGGCCATGACTTCACAGGCACATTACAGTTTATGCAAAGGTAATCCTGGTTTTCCTTCTTTGGCTGGGAATTAGAATCTGTTATCCCAGCTATACTGTTTTTAGTACCCTAACTAGCCCACTCTTCATGTGAAGACTCTACATGTCTTGTGTACTTTAATTGTTCTTTCAACAAACAATAACTGTTTATGAAAGCCCCGTTTCTCTCTGAAAACTACATTTTTCAGATGTATTGTGTAACCTGTGTGATCTCTGCTGGCTGAAAAAATTATTTTTCCCATCCTATTTATAATGATATTATTGCTTTACGGGATAGTTGAGGACCCTGACACAAAGACATGGCAATTGAAAAACTGTCAATTAAATAGCTGAAAAAGGAGGAAAAGAAATACAATTCAAAAATATCTATGCAAAGATCCCGTATCTGTCTGCAACCCTCCCCATTACTCCGTGTAGGTAGTACTCAGAATTAGCTGTGGAAATAAATGATGTCAGAACCAGTCCTCTAAACATTTTCAATTTTCCCCATTACTCCGTGTAGGTAGTACTCAGAATTAGCTGTGGAAATAAATGATGTCAGAACCAGTCCTCTAAACATTTTCAATTTTCCAGTATGAAAATATCCTGTAGAACGGTGTTGTGGTATTGCATATGAAACAAACTAGGGTTTCTTTTATGTCAATAGAATTTTTTTCATTAAATGTTAGTTAATCTGTGCTGTATACTGTGCATATTTTTTTCCTATTAAATAAAAAAAATCTTTCCTGATAAGGACATCTTTTCTGAAAGCACTTCTTAAAATAGACTAGCTTGATGCTGTGGGTAGTGCTTTGACATTGAAGAAAACCAGTGAGATGCAAACAAATTCTTGCAATTTATATAAAATCATCATGGCCACAAAATGAAATGTAGGAACATTTTACCACTACTGCAGTTAGAATGGCCAAAGCATTTGAATAGAGCTTTGTCAGGATTTTTATTCTCAAGAGCCCACCTATTCACAAATCTGGGGTAGCTGAACAGAGTTAGGTTTCCTGGTACAGTTATTCTTTTTAAAGTAATAATTCATAACATCATTTTGCTGCTTTAATGGAAAAGTACAATTTGACATATCTGATAAAAAATATACCTGCTCTTGGCTGAGGGCAAAGGAATGGCTGAGAGGACCTGTCATCTCTGATTGCAAGCTACTGCTCCTGGCCTTTACCTTTTGAAGAGTGGTGAGTTGTGGTGGCAGACACAGTGAAATATAGCAGCCCACTCCAAAGGGCTTAAAGTGTTCTGTGTGTGCAGCAAGGTCACAGGAAAGGTCAGCAAGGTCACAAACATTCCACATTAGAGTTCCTTCATGGGGAGGAGCCTTTACCAGTGGCATTTCGAATTTCAGTTACTCTACGTGAGATTCATAAAACCAAATGAAACTTGCAAAGTAGCAGCTACATTGGAGCTAAGAATCTTGGCTTATTCTTAGTGATTAGAAATAGGTATCTGAAGGACATAGTTAATTTCACGAAAAATGTCTAAAGTGGGTTGATGGAATTGTGTTCTGGAACCTCCCATTTGTCTCTATTGACTATAAAGACATACCGGTGTGTTAGTACAAGTATAAACAGCAGCAGTTCAAAAATCTAAAGGTAAATGAAACTTCTTTATTTCTGACTTTTCCCTCATTTGCATATTGGCGTCCTTTTTCATGTAAAAACTAATCAGTGGACTCAAACCAGATTTGTCATACTGCCTTTAGCTGACCTTTGAGTGCTCAATAGTTCATTATATCCACTCTGTGTCCTATAGTACAATAATTTTTTACAGACTTCAAATTTTGGGTGATACTTCTATACTAGATAAGCACATTATTAGTTAAACCGAAGAAAATAAAACAAAAAGCCATGTTATGCATGCTAACCTATGAATTTCCAGGGTAATGGACTTTATTCTAAAGTCTTGAATATGGAACAGTGACAAAAATGGAAAAGATGAGGACTGTGGTATTTTCCCTAATTTTATTTTAGATGCAATGAGAGAAATTTTGGCCTGGTCCTGCCGGCCCACCAGTGTATGCACCTAAACATAAGCATAAAACTTTGTTGGTCAGCTCACCTAACTGCAGGTTGCTAAAGTACTCCAAAGTTGCTAATGTGCTCCATTTGAGTAGTGTGCTTTGAAAAGGTCCTGTAATGTGGAAATAATATCCAAGAGAAGTTAAAAAATAGCACAGTTTTGCTGCACTTGTATTTTGTGTATGTTATAAAGAATTTTCTTACAGGAACAGGAGTGTTTAGTTCATTGACGAGCCCAAAGCTACGGCTGATGAACCCAGGTCAGCAATGCAGCTCCCACAGACCTGCCTCAGCTGGCAGCTGAGCTGGGATATTCTTAGGGAAGGCATTTTTTTGATGCAACATCTCTTTGTTGAGTGTGTTCAGACTTGGCACAGGTAGAAATATTCAATGTTCAGCTATTTTCTGCTTTGATAGGAAGCACTTGTGTTTGGCGAGTTTTTTCTCCCACATACGACAGTATATTCTCTGGTTCTTATAGACTTCATAAAAAAATTAGCAAATCAGTGTTACAAAAGTACAGTAAGAGAAGTAATATTATTTTTAAAACCCTGCCTACCAGTCTTCTAGTAGTGATGTGTATCATTTAGAATTGTCAGATAAAATAAGGCAGTGACACTCAACAGGAGCAAATTAGATGTGTATATATAATGAATTAAATTTCCATTTATTTCTCAGTGAAAATCTTTAAAGGAGAGAAAGTTGGAAAATTATAGTCATGTTTTGAGTGAACACAATGAGACTGATTTCTTGTTTATAAACCAACACTCATATTTTGTTATGCATCTATGACTATACCGTTAATTTTTTATCTTAGAGAAGTGTGTTTATTTAGTAGTAAAATAAAATTACAAAAAGAAAAAAATCCAACCCAAAAGTTCTGATGGAGAAAATATTTTTCTATATTGGACTAATGCTTGGGGTATAAATTAAACTTGGATAAATTATTGGTGTTTTTCTGAGTATTTCATTTTGATAGGGGTACAGTAATTATTTTTACCGTGAATGAACTCAGAAGTGTTCAGATTAGCAAATGAGTGCCTTTCTAAATCCTAATAATGAAAGAATCAATAAGTGATTCTAAAATTACTTGTGGCAGATCTCAGCAATAACAGAGGAATATAGTTTTCAATTCATTTGTGTACTTCAGTACATTTATGTCAATGAGACTGATTATATGTTATTGCTGTGCAAAGAATTGATTTTTTAATTTAGCTTCCAAATAAAGCAATAGAAATATTTTTTGGTCTGAAAAACAAATGTTTTGAGGTTGTTTTTTTATTTTTCCACTTTAGTTCCAGGAATGACAAAAAAACCACTTAGTTTGGGACTAGAGTATCTTGTGGCCTTGTATAAACAATTTTCTTGAAGCACGGCTAAGAAAAAGCAAAGACAAAGATGGACCAGATCCAGTCAAAGCTGCTGGACAAAGCCAAATCTTCTGTTTGAGTGTTATAACATCCATTTGCACTGTGCACCTAAGGTTTAGTTTTCAGTTCAGCTTACAGGAATTAAATCTTAAACTTCTCTGATCCTAAATGCCAAGCTGTGAATGATTTTGAAAAGAGGACAGTACTACCAGAATTAAGAGAAGCCTCATCTCATCTGTTCTCTGCATTATTGTGAGAATCTCTATAACCCCAGGAGAAATCAATAATTTCAACTAGGAAATAAACGGTTTCAGATTTCTACCCTTAGTCAGAAAGAGAACAAACCTGAGTTCAGGCAAGAACCATAATAGAAAGGATGTGGAGTGTGTGAAGGCTGGGAAATTTGTGGATAGGATAGTGACATGTTGGGTATACTCCATTTTATACGAGACATCACTGAAACAGAGAGAGCAATAGCATGATAATATGGGGTTCAGAAAACCTTTCAAGAACAACTGGATTTAGAAGCACAAATAAAATACAACAGGGTTAAAGCTAAAAACGCTCTCTGATTTTCACTTTGTACTCTGAAGTTAGATGCTAACCTAGGATCTGTGAGAAAGCTGAGGACTGACTCATGGACTGGCATATTTTGTATGAATGTCAGGAGCAATAGATTTAACAGGCATAATGATACATTTGTGTGTATGTAAGCACATTTGGCTTGGTCTCACATAATTTTGAAGGGACTGAAAATGCGTTTTGCAGAAGAATTCATACTTCATCAGATTATCATCATCATTATCTCTACTCATGTCTCCTCATTTGACACCAGCCTTAGCTGCAGTACTTCAATGGATGAAGATGGAGCAGAAATAAAAGACACCATTGGGAACACTTAGCACAATAAGGGTGTTTGATATGGAGTGTGTTTCATTTTGCATCA